GCCTGATAGCTGGGATTCAAGCTACACATTTTTTTATGGTTCAATTAGAATATATCGGTACGATACCGGTTCTTGCTTCAACAAAAATAAGGTTTTTTCTCGACTCAGTCCCGAAAGAATATTTTTTTATATATTTATTAATTTTTTTAAAATGTGCCGGGCTTTAAGTCGTGCTTTTAAAAGTTATGTTTTATATGACTTATATAAAAACAAACTTAAGATTAAAGAAAACATATATCACAGTTGTTTATTTATGTATATATATATTTAGCAGATATCCATCTTCAGTGTTATTACAAAAAAAAAATTAATTTGTTTTGTCATCATTAAAATCACGTGAATAATTCTTGTGGAAAAAAGAATTTCATTTATTTATCGAACCTAATTACAATATTAATAGTATAATATATAATAATATTAATATTATTTTAATATAATAAAATATTTTCTTATTGTATCATTAAATGAATCTCAATCCATTGTCAGGTTTTTTTGCCATTAAGTTACAGAGATACAAAACATACTAAAGTGACCCTTATTATTATTGTCCCTTAAGTTTTCCTTAACATATTGGGCACTAAAGTGTCACTTAAAATTGTAATAAATATATATAATGTCAGATCAACATATAGATGAGAATAGAACCGACTGTTCTTGAAACGGAGTCACTCGTTAAGTTCAACGACTAAGTACTGTTCGCCACACCCCAAGCGAACTATGCAAACAATATGTTTTCCTTAAATTTGTGCGTTAAACAGATTCAAAATTATTGAATGTATTGTAGATCCATTTCTGTAGAAATAAAGGATTTTTGTATCTGTATTCTCGATTTTTTTGCTTGTTAAAAAATTTACCGTACAGGTGCCAAACTCTGGAGTGATTAGTCGAAATAAAGTGATATATTTTTTCAGTTCGATTCTGGTTTTCAATTTGTTAACAAAGGGTTGTTTTTGCTTCAGTTCTGTTTTATGGGTCTGCTACTTGGAGTCTATATATTCTTCATCGACTCTTCATCTAGATTAATTAATCTATAAATAAAAATCTCACATTATTTGGTTTGAGTATATGTAAAGCATTGAATAATAATTTTTAAGTTGTTTTTTATTTCCATTTCTTATAATATAAATAAATATTTAATTTTTATTTAATTTAAAATATACTCGCCTGAATATTTGTTATAAATTCACTTTAATTGTTTAAAGGTATTTAGTCAATTAATTTAAATTAAATTTATGTGTTTACTAACCTTTACGATTTGAAGTCAATAGCTTTTAATTAAATTAATTTTTATTAAAGAAGAATAAATGCCATATAGTGGTAACATAAAGAGAATCAATCATTTCTTTAATAAAGGAAACAAAAATATTAAATAACTGAAAAAAATATTATAAAACAGAAATTAAATAAATTTAGATTTGCGACCTAAATTGTACTCTAAACCATGCAAAGTATATCGTCTCCAATGTTTTTTTTTCTGAAATAAAGTAATATAAAAGATGCTATAAATATCAGGTATATCAACTCATAAGCAGTCACAGAATAACACTTTGTACGGAAAAATAAATACTAAGTTAAATGTTAATTGGGGCATTTAAACCTGTTTTAATTAGGGTCTAACAAAAGAAAGCATTATTTCTACTACTCGAACCATGTTTATGCGCGAATATGATATTCTAGCGACAACTAAAAGTTGTGGAAGGAATGTTTAATTAATGTTTGGTCACCACTGTTCAGCTCAATCTGGGTTTTTATCTATAAAACTCTTCCTGAACATATTATATATAGGGTTTTCACTTTGTATGTACAATAGCACTCAAACGGTCAATAATCAATTAACACAACTTATTATAAAGTAATTTCCGGCAAATTATTTTGTTTAGTTCCAAATAGCGTTTATAAGTTATTGTATTTATGCATGTATGTATACTAAAGTAAATCTTCAGTTAGAAATGTTTATAGAATGAAACACAATTGCGTTTACAAATAGGTCTTAATAGCATTAAGAATAATGAATATCCAATGGTAATTCATTAGCTACCGATTTTTCTTCAAATATGTTTCATTTGGTGCAACTAAGGGTCTCGTGGTATGATTATGATCAATTTTTAAACATGAAGTAAATTGATATGTTACCGCCGAACATTTCAAAACAGAGTTATGGATAACGATTCATTTTTCCATGTCTGGGTGAATATATTCGTTGAGAAATCAACAAGTTATTGAAGCAACTGTTCAAACTGTGTCAATATTGTCTGCAGAAATAAACCGGTAAAGAATTTATTGTAGAGCTATTTAAAGTCCTTAGTCTATGCGGATAAGTCCACAACGATTTGAGGGTTGTGAACAAACATAATCACAGAAAGTATGTAATATATTTATGGAATAATATTTGAATCGGACTTAGTTTGCATACAGATAACCTTGGTAGTAAGTATTTAGTTATGCCATTTTAGATTGGTAAAACTGGGATAACTTTTTCAATCGAGATTCACATTTAATGTAATTTTAATTTTCGATTAGTAAATCTCGAGCGAAATGTATACCCCTTGGGATGAGTTTATAACACTCTAGATATTTTGTCAGCGTAGGAAGATTACCCTGAAATTAACAGCTGTTTTATATGACTTGATAAGTAGAGTGTGATTTGGTTCGACATTTGTATGGTATATATGAAAAATATTAATACCAGAAAATAAGTGAAAAAAATCTAAATAATTCAAAATTCTACTTCGCTTTAAAAAATACACCCTATATATTATACTTATTAGTTTGACATTTTAACTATAAATTTAATTTTTTATTGTTTATTTAATAAATTATAAAGAAGTATGTACTTGTCAAGTAAGTTTCAAATATATAATTGTAATTTTTTTTATTTATGTGTCTTTAAAACGTAAAATGATTCCAATGAACTAATAATTGTAGAATTTATGGGCTATTTGACTTCGTTGAAGGTGTCAGTTAATTCCTCACCCTGTTTTTTACAACTTATAATTGTTAATTATTGTAATATATTAATCTAATAAAACTGTTTGTTGATTCATATCGTAGAGTTGTATGTGATTCTACGTACTCGTATGTACGTTCTACAGTAAATAACTTTCATTATTTGACGATGAAATATGAAATATTTTTAAATTGCAGAAATCATTTCTGCAATTGTTTTTATTTGTGTTTATTAGGAGAAAAAATGTATGTTATTAAATTTAATAACTTGGGTGACCTTGTGTACTTTTTGAACTGATTGATATCGTCTGGTATCGCATGGAAGAGGAAATAGTTCATATCGCGTGTTTCATTATAAAAATTCAATGTTTTCATAAACAACACATTACATTGCAGACTGTAAATGGTTTCACATGTACCAAGCTCTGTTGTGTCACCAAAAAGATATAGTACATTTGTTTAATGATAAAACTTCTAAATGAATTATTGCCTATCGTTTTAAATTTCTTTTTAAAAATCAAAAAAATAAAAAAAATAATAAAGTTTGTCTTACAAGCACAAAAAATTAAAACTAATCTCATAATTTTTTAATTTCTGTAAAATAAAATTTTTAACTTTTATTTTATTTATTCATACATAAATATAACAAACTAATATTAAATATAGATATATATAAAAGTTATTTAATAATAATATTTAGCAAATAAAATTTATCTACTCAAGGATTCATTTCTTTATAAAAAGATTTATGTATTTATATATATGATTAATTTTTATAAATCATAATTATTGCATTTATTATTCAGAACACTTTAAAGAAAGTTTAAAGAAACATTTAAAGAATGTTCGTAATAATGCAGAACATAAAAAACTATTAATTGTCTTAACTAGTTGCTATTCTATTCTCTGCCTATATCGCCTACTCATCATATTAAAATATTAATAGTTAATAAACAAATGAATAATAAACTTGTTCGAGCGAATGAGTGAATGCTTGAATCTAAAACCGAGTTTAATACCTACAATATCACGAGGAAGTAGTTGCAAACAAACGTTAAGATCTCGATTGGAATGAAATGCTTGTCTAATTTTTTTACAATAAATATTTCTTCTCTTAAAATTTCTTTATAAAAAAATTATAACAGATATATCAAATATTATATATTAAAGAAAACTACAAATATTTAAATTATTGTGTTGTTGAAATATTTTGCAAAAATTTAGAACTAAGATATTTTACTTTTAAATGTTCTAACACTTTTCCATGTATTAAATAATCTTTATCATATCTGGAATTGTTAACGCCATGATATTAAAAACTTTATGACGTTTACTATAACTGATAAGAATATAGAGTATTAAAAGAATTATTTTTAATGTATACTTACAATAATTAAATTCTATTAAAAAAGTAATACAATCCTTATCAATTGGTATACGAGTACGAGGAATGCTTAATAAGTCGTTAAGTGCACAATATATGTGTTAAACTTAAGCCTAAATTATTTCTCCAATCTGAGGGTTTTTTCGATCTAAAATCTGTGCAAATCACACAAGTTTTGAATTTAAAAAAATGAAAAAAGAAGAATTTCGACCTCCAAATGTGCTATACAGTTGATAATTAATTTGAATATAATGAATAAAATACATAATCCAATAAACCAAAGATAGTAAGCAGTTTGGACCCCTAAATAAATTAATTCTATAATCGTATATAATAGAAAGAAGTAATATTGTTTTTAAAGCAGGGTAATTGGTCAATAACTATATAATAATAGACATTTAAAAAAATCTTTTTACTTAAACCAATATTTCAACTATATTCTATAGTCATCTTCAGGCTGTCTTCAATACCTTGGTTTAAATAAAAAAAAATTTTTTAAAAACTAAATTTTTTTAAAAAATATATTTAACTATTGATCAAAAATTTTAGTAATTAAAACAATAAATTATTAATAATTATATTTTAACTTATACATTTTAATTATTACTAAAATAGAATAAAAATAAAATAAAATAATTATAATTAATATACTTTTCTTAATTTTTTTTAGCGTCTGGAATTCGATCGAGAAGGGCTAGCAAAACTTAAAAAAGCTGTTAAGGCAATACACAATTCCGGCAATAGTAAGTCGAAAAAAGCTAAAATATTTGAAGTCGTCTTAATTTAATTAATTTTATTTGAATCCTAGCTCATGTTGACAATGAAATGTTCTTGGTGCGCGCTTTGGAACGACTAGGTGGAAAAGTTATAGAAGATGAACCTGATATTGGAGCCGCATTTTTGAAATTCTCTGTAGTTACTAAAGAATTAAGTGCATTAATGAAAACATTGGTATGTACAGAAATACTAAATACTAATATTGAATATTGAAACTATTTCCGTCAACAGATGCAAAATATCAACAATATTGTCATGTTTCCGGTTGATTCAATGCTGAAAAGTGAATTGCGTGGCGTCAAGGGTGAAATGAAAAGGCCTTTTGATAAGGCAGCCAAGGATTATGAAGCCAAATTTATTAAAATTGAAAAAGAGAAAAAAGCGCAGGCGAAGGAGGCAGGTATGGTTCGAACGGAAATTGATGCTGCGGTTGTTGCAGATGAGATGGAAAAGGAACGACGTCTGTATCAATTGCAGGCTTGCGAGGTGGGTAGAACATAACAATATATTAATATTACTTTAAAATAATTATTTAATATAAATTTTACAGTATTTATTGAAATATAAAGAAATCAAAACGAAGACCGGCATTGAATTGTTACAACATTTTATAGAGTATTACCATGCGCTTAATAAGTATGTTTGTTGCATATATCAAATATGTGCCATTATATTAAATTAAAATATTTTCGTTAAAAAGTTATTTCAAGGATGGCCTTCAAACCATTGAACACTTTGGTACCTACATCACTGACTTAAGCGAAAGATTACAAACGATTAAGCAAAAACAGGACGAAGATCGCCGTAGTTTACTTGATTTGCGAACATTATTACGTAGCACTCCAGATTTTGAGCGTGTGGAAAATGTGCCAACAGAAAAAGGTGGGAGTACCGGTTATTCTTTACATCAATTGCAAGGCGATAAGCATCACGGAGTTACACGTTCAGGTCATCTATTGAAGAAGAGCGAGGGCAAAGTACGTCGCGTTTGGCAGAAGCGTCGATGTCGTGTGACAAGTGATGGATTTCTAGATATTTGTCATGCAGATGAAACAAAACCACCAACACGTGTCAATTTATTGACATGCCAAATCAAACCAGTGCCCGATGATAAACGGGGCTTTGATTTAATAAGCTGTAAGTGATAAACTATATAAAAAAATATTAATATACAGACATATTTCGAAAGATTAATATTTGATAATATTCGAGTCAGCTGTATGGCCAAAGTTAATTAAAAAACTATTCATCACTAAGAGACCTTTTTCTTTATTCGAGAATAGATCTCTTTGTTAATATCAATATTCAATATTGTTAATATAATATTCATTTATTTCATTTATTTCAGTTAATGAATATATTTCACTTGATTTTTTATACATGTTTTTTTATTTTAAAGATAATCGTCCATATCACTTTCAAGCCGAAGATGAAGTAGATCAAAAAGCTTGGATGGCTGTTTTAGTAAATTGTAAAGAAAAAGCTCTAGCTAAAGCATTCCAACATGCCAATCCCCAAATGAGTCCTAGTTTAGTAGAGCTTCAAAAGACTGTTATAAGGTTGGTAGAATTATTACACATCACTCAAAATATAAAAAATAATTTTAAATATCTATTTTGTAGATACGTCCAAATGTTACCAGGCAACGATCAGTGTTGTGATTGTGGCTCAAGAAACGATGTCACTTGGATAAGTTTGAATTTTGGTGTACTTGTTTGTATTCAATGTTCTGGAGTACATAGAGACTTAGGCGTGCATCACTCTCGCATACAAAGTTTAACATTAGATAATTTAACAACTGCAAATTTATTAATTGCTAGAGCAATGGGCAATCATACTCTCAATGAAATAATGGAAGCCACCTTAGGCAAAGGCAAACTCCATCCTGAAAGCACTATGTAGGGAATAATGATATATTATATTGCATACTCATTATTAACTATTAATTTTCTTCATTTTGTTATGTATAGGGAACAACGTTACGATTTTATACGTGCCAAGTATGTTGCTAAACGATATGTGATGCGTACCTGCGCTGATGATAATGATTTACGTTGCGATCTAGAACAAGCAATTGTAAATGCTGATATGAGCCAATTGTTACAAGTATGGGCAGAAGGGGCTGATCTCACTTGTTGTTTGCCATCTTCAGATGCCGGCGAGACGGCTTTGCATTTAGCTGTACTACGGGAAATGGGCTCCACATTACATATTGTAGATTTCCTTATACAAAATATGCCACCAAAGGGTTTAAATAAAGCAACAAATCCACCTGGCCTCTTAGATGTTACTGGAAAAAATACTGCTTTGCATTTGTGTGCTTTACATGATCGTCGCGAATGTATGAAGTTATTATTGCGTTCTGGAGCAGATTTCGAATTAAGAAACTCGCAAAATAAAACAGCGCTGGATATTGCCAAAGAGATGGGACATAATGGCTGCAAAGAACTGGTAAATTTAAAAATATTTTTTAAAATTTTAATCCGAAGAATAATTATTTAATATATATTTTACACTTTAGATTGAATGTGCCATTAAACGTGAAAAAAGCGCTTTCGATCATATTAATACTGATTGGAACTTACCGAATGAAGATGGTTCAACCGATTTTTCAGATGATGATACAGTTATTGATGAAAGAGTGTGTATATATTGTGCTTTATATTCTTTGAAATTGATTTATATTAATGTGTCTATTCATTTCATAGAAATCACGTTCACGTCCACCAAGTTTTGCAGGTGGTGATTCGCCAGTATTACGTTCACGTTCCTCAACTTGTGATTCTATACAAAGCGGTTCTAGTCCAATTGCCAATTGCCCTACACGACAATTTACTTTACCAACCGGAGTACCCAATTATAATCAATCTGCTGGTACCTCACCTAAGCAACATATTTCGATGGCACAATACTTAAGTGGTAGTGGCAGTGCTGGTGGTGGTTCAAGTCCAAGTTCCGCTTCTAGCCAAAGTATGCGTGGCGCACGCACTGCTGTTGCAAATGAGTTGGCACATGTTACGGGTGCAAGGAAATCTACATCTACAGGTAATTTATTTTTTTTATTACTAATATTTCACAAAACACAACTTATTTTCTTATTTTTATTAGCAAATATGAATTCACTAAAGAAACGTACTGCACCAGCACCACCACCGGGTTCAACCTCTAGTTCATTTTATGGTACACTACCGCATCCACCAAGACATTCCCAAAATTTTGATTCGAACGATATACGTACGATAAATCACAAAAATCAATCAATCGACGTTGTGTATGGTACATTACCGCATTTACGTTCAGTCGATAGCAGTCCACGTATTAGTGGCGGTGGATCACATGGTTATTATGAACGATTTGATAAATCATTATCACAAGATCCGGCTGGTGGCATTAATAACATACCTACCATGACTACATTCGGCCATAAACGTTCACCTAGTGGTGAATCCCTGAATCGAAATTTCCATTTAGCTGGTGCCAAATTGGTTTTACCTCCTGCTGGTGAGATTCCTACACTTAAACACGTAGACAAATCAGGATTGACAAGACCAAAAATACCTCCACCTGGTCCACCACCAGGTAAGACACAGCTTTCACATTCTTGTAATATGTTTTACTTAATTATTTTATAACTTTTTAATATAGAACGTGATATAGCAAACGGACAATCAAATGAAAGTATTTGTTCTTTGGATGAAGGTCCTATAGCACCACCTCGAAAGGTATACTTGTGCAAATATATTTCAAGATTAACGTAAATTAGTCCACTAGAAGTTAATTGAAAACAATTATGTTAATAACTGAATCAGTAGTTTTTTATAGTCTGTTTGAAAAGACAATTATTTTAAGTCTTTCTTATATATAGTATATATATTTTTAATTTTAAATGATAATCAAAAATGTTAAATTACAGCACAAAAACAGAAAATTATTGAAAATTTCGCAACCAAGTGAAGAAACGGTAACATAAAATAGAAAAAATTTATTGCATTTTATAAATTGGTGCTTCAAACTAATGTTAAAGTGAATAATTTATCAACGATATTTTCTAAAGCCTTTAAATAATGTTCTGGAAAATCGTTGATATATATTAATTTGAGAAAAATAGGTAAATTTACCATTTAACTAATTTATAATTAAATGGATAGTTTACATATCATTTTGTTCCCTTTAACACTGAGTACACATTGTGGTTTCTCATTGCTGTGTTAAAAAGTGTAACAAATCGCTTTCACATAAATAATATTGTTTCGTTATATGCAATTTTCGTGTTTGTTTAAATTTTATTATAAAAAATAATATATTTAACTCAATGTAACACTTCTTGAATTACATAAAATTAATGTATTTATATTGGTATTATGCATACGCTAACATTAACTTCGCATTTTTTTTATTTCAATTCTTCATATAATTTTATATTTAATTAATTATTATTATTTCTTTTTTTATTAGCTAATAAATCAATCAGCAAATTTTTCGGAATTTGAAACATGGAATACAGATATGGATTCTTCAGGAGGTGGCTTAGATCATTCAGCCGAATCAAATATTTCATCTAGCGATAATGATCGGATTAATTCATCACCTGATAATCAACTAAAAAGCATGTCTGGAAAATACAATTTTGTAAGAAATATATTTAAATTAAATGAATTTATTAATATAAATTTATTAATAAATATAAATATATACTTACTTATATACTTACTTTAGATAAATAAGTATTGAACATTATTCTTATTAAATTATTATTACGAAATAATCATTATTATAAAATTATTGTTATTATGAAATAATTATTATTATAAAACTATTATTATTCTAAAATTATTATTATTATAAAATTATTATTATAAAACTATAATTATAAATTATTATTATTATATTATTATAAAACTATTATTACTATAAAATTATTATTATTATAAAATTATTATTATTATAAAATTATTATTATTATAAAATTATTGTTATTATAAAATTATTATTATTATAAAATTTTTATTATAAAATAACAATTATTATAACTATAATTATAAAATTATTATTATAAAATTTTATTTTTATAAAATTATTATAATTATAAAACTATTATAATTATAAAACTATTAATATTATAAAATTATTATTATTAAAAAATTATTATTATTATAAAATGTTTATTATTATTATAAAATTATATGATGACAAATCTATTTAATTATAAATAACTGTCGCTTGTGTTTGTTTTTAATTGCAAACAAGTCTCCATTTTTAAGTTTATATTTATAATTTAAACTGATGTTTCATATAAAAATATTTGTATATAAATAATATTTTTAATAATTTACTTTTAATTTAAAGTGGTTTTAAAAATATATAAGTGTATATTTTGTGTAATAAATATCCAGAATTATCAAACAAAACACAAAAAAAAATTATTAATATATCAAAATTTATTTTGTTTATATTTAAGTTTTAGTATCTTGTGGCGAACTCACAATTCAGAAATATGTCTTATTTCTCTTCTATTTTTATTTAATTATATTATAAAATAAAAATAATAAGAATTATACAAATATGTTGTACAGTAATAAAGCTAAGTAATAAAAATCATTATTTATTTATAGAATGGGCATAGGCGTTGTCGCGCTCTCTATGATTGTGCCGCAGACAATGACGATGAATTAGAATTTAAAGAAGGTGAAATTTTAATCGTACTCAACGAACGTACAGACGATGAGAATTGGATGGAAGGTATTATCGAAGGTGATCCTACACGTCGTGGCATGTTTCCTGTTAGTTTCGTACATATGTTGCCGGACTAAATTAAAATTGATAAATAATAATTTTATAGAATTAATAACAAATGTAATTGTTTTCCTAACCTACTCAATCACATATACTATTATAATATATTGATGTTAGTGTATTTTAAAGTGTGTGTGTTGTAAAACCGCTTACATAAATGTAAGTTACCTTGAAGTTTGTCCTTAAAGTTGTTATAATTGTAAGAAACAGAACAAGTAACACATATAAAACTATTTTCTATGTCTTGAAACTATTTTCAATATATAAACCTCGTCAACTGTATTTTGTAAGTTAAAGTTACTTTTGTAAGAACTTGCTATATTTTTTTTCTGCTTAACTGTGCTTGTAAATATTGAAAATATTTATTTATTTATTTTTCTTCTATTTTAATTGTATCTGAGACGCTTCTTATGCTTAAATTGATTAAAACTATAGTTTTTTAAACTGAAACTGCAAATTTTTGGGCATATCATTGTTTTTATCCGTAATGTAAAAAAAAAAATTAAACGCTACGTAATTTTAAACTGATGAAATTATTAAATTTCTGTATTCATTACAAAATTATTGAACTAAAATTCTGTATGTAGAACGTTTGTTATTATTATAATACAGAAATAAATATGGAAAAAATCTTTAATTGAAATTTAATAGTAAGTTACTGTAATCTTTAAAAATACGCTGCCATAATTAAGGACGACTTGGTCGCCTATATATACATATATAAAAAAAATATAAAAATGAACTATTATACCAACTATCACAAATAATATGTTAAAGAAAGTATTAAAAATTTTATGGAAGTAAAGTTTATAAAACAAAGTTATTTAAATGTTAAAAGAAAATATAAACAATTTAAACGTTATTTACAATAATATTAAAAAGTTTATATAGAATTTCATTATATACACAAAGTAATACCCCTGTACCTATGTAGTTACAATTTATAAGTGTATGTATGTATATAAAAAAAAAACAAATTTATTTATTTGCTATATTTATTATATCTTTTTTCACACTTTATACTCCTACAATGATATTTAATTATTTTTTATTTTTATTATTATTATTATTATTATTATTATTTACAGTATTTCGCAAATGAATATACAAAGAAAAAATATATCACATTATTTAAAGGCTTAAGACTATAGATTATTAAAAGTTTTTATAGATTTCATATAATTTTCCTGTTTTTATCACTTGTTATTTTATATGTAATTAAATCAAATAAAGTTTTCTATAAACTCAAACAAAACAAAAATTATTATCTAAGATGCCAATGTATTACTTCAAATATTTAAATAAAAAAATCAAATGCTATTTGAATAAATCTTGAATAAAAAAATTGTTTCTAGTTGACTTAAAAAATGTTTTAATGAATTTGTTTTTAGTATTTCAATAGCAAATTTGTGTTATTCTTTATTTCTAAATTTATAAATGTTAGTGGAATGGATAAAACATATAACGCACAACAGCAGCAGTTAGATAGTGATGATGATTCCGATATTGATGAGGAATCTCAGTTGGTAGGTTCGCTAATATTAAAATCGAATTAAAATTTCAATTCCAATTATTTACATAATATAACTTTTTAAAAAATATTTCAAATATAAAAAATTTATACGCGATTTGTTGAAAAGATATGACTTTTAAAATTTCGAGCGCTTAGTATTAAATTAAAATGTGCTCCAACTTTACTCTGAGCAAAAAAGATATTTGTAAGTGGTACAAGCTATTCGCAGAGGACCGAAAATATGTACGCTAGCATTTTAAATTGTCATTGAAGTGAGTTAAGTTTGCTTTTATTGCGAATGGAGAATCTTTAACAGAAGTGATAATCGGTACTTGGTTGTCAATGTTAATAAACAGCTGTACTCTATTAGTGGAACTTCTTTTAATCTAAAAATCAAACACACAAAAGGTAGAAAAATGAGGACGATAGGATTAAACCATAAATAAATAGGACTCAAGCCTGTGTGTGCATAACATATGCCTCTCTGAGAGAACTTTCAGCGGTTATGCGCTTTGCTTGAAATGTTCGTAAACCTCAATATAATTATTTACTATTCCAAAATCACAGTTTGATATTAAGGACATTTGGTATAGTTTAGAGTATAAATTTTATTCTTTAATATTTATATGTATATAGCTTAATTACTTTTTATATTTATTTATTTCATATATTCTATATATTCCAAATAACTCTACTTAAAGATAACATTATATAGAATTAATTTATTATTTACAATCATTTTTAAAATGATAAACCCATTTTAGGGTAGAAAACAATTGCAAGGATTTTGCAATATGTGGTCTCAATTGGGACTGACCTGACCATTAGTCAAATACAACACAATAATAATAAGTTTGGTCATAAATCACTAAATTCTAATAGTATATAATTTTTTTTTTAATTAAAGTGCACATATTTAAAGTAAAGAAATAATTACGACTGTGGAGATAGTGTGTCTGAGTTCATTATAACACTAAACTTTATTTCTTCATGTCTAATAATAACATCCAAAACATACATAATCTCAAGGTGCGCAATATGACAACTAATACTGTAGCTTTTTAAAAAAAACAAAGTGTCAACTATATCTGGCAATGATTGTCTGCTTAAGCTGAGTCTCTTCTTCACATTTTCTTTCATAAACACAGGCTTGTATTCAATAATTTGTTTACTCTAAATATATAGATATATATAAATAGCTTTAAATATATATGATTGCTTATATATCAGTATACTTAAATCAAAATGTTATTCATTAAAATTTATTTATATAAATTTTGTCAACATTTTGTACTTCAGCTGAATCATTAATTGAAATTAATTCAATATATATCAATAAATGGCAATGGGCACATTTTGTTTTAAATTTATGTAGCTAGTCATTGTTTTGAATATAAATCAAAAATTTGATATTGAGAGCAAGTGAGAAAATTCGACTTTTGTTACCTTTTCACTAACAAATGTAAATATTAATTTGTGAAGGAACCAAACGAAATTCATACATGTTAACTTCACAAACAAAAAAAATTGATTATTTGCCGCTAACTATATACAATGTTCGAATACCATACTCAGACGGATACCTCGGCATAAACTTAGATGCAAAGTTATTTCAACATATAAGAGCATATAAATTAGAAACGAGTTGAGCTATAATTAAAATACAAAAAATTATATTGGCTTCTTGGAAAATAATCACCCGTCTCTTTAACCAACAAATGAATATATACAAGCAAGCTTTCGGTCCGGCGCATACGTATGGAATCCAGTTAGGGGAATTTGCGCCAAAAACGATCATTCAATTCATCTAAAATTTTCAAAACAAAGTCCCAAGAAATCGATGTTAAGTGGTTCGCTAGAAATACTGACTTCCATAGGGACTTGAAGATCAAACTGTAGATGCAGTAACTTAAAAGTTGGTGATAAAGCATCAAGAACGATTACAACAGATCTGCTCCCAAATTAATATGAATTTCTTTTAGATTACTGCTAAATTGGCACTAATCCTTTGACAACTTGACATTTGTATAATGTATTGTAATGTATAACAAAACTGCTTGATAGTTCTCTGCACTTGAACTAGTTATAGTCAAATGAAACAAGTATTTTTATTATTGTACGTATTGTATTTCAAGTAATTAACAAAAAAAACGACGCAATTCGAAAATAATACAGATTTGCGTTCAAACGTAAACTCTAAAGTCTAGTCAATGTAGACACCAAGTTAGTGACGGTTACCAGGCATTTTGTCTACACAAGTTGTATCATCATTAAACTTAACATTAAACATGTTTAATGACTCTTTAAAGATTGAACATACCCAAATGATCTGAAAGGCTGTTTTTGGCATTTATCATTTTTGCTTACGTTTTGTTCTGATTATTCGTTTGTTGCAATTTAAAAATCCCGCACTTGTCCAATTTTTTCGGAAATTGGCAAATTTGTAGAAAAGATTATAAAATCGAGTGCCACAAAGTTTTCTCGCAATTTTTCGTGGCAATTGAAATGTTTAAAGATTCAAAATACGCAAAAAAACTTACAAACAATTATTTACGACAGAATGAAGTTCGCATGCCAGGGTCTTCGGAATTTTTAAACAAATGTACAATTGGAACAGCACACAAAATTGTAGATGAAAGTAACAAAGATACTTTATTTGCAATAGAAGATGCCGTTTTACTTAGTGATTTTATAATAAATCCCGTAGCAGACGGAGCATTTGAGAAAGCAGCGCAGCAACCGGTGAGTACAATCGAAATATAATTCTTAGACAATTTATTTATTCAATATATATTAACCTATTTTGAATAATTTTCGTAAAACTAATTTGCCAAAACTTATTAATAAATTAAAATATTTTAATTTATAATTATAAAATTTTGTGTAAACAAAATCTAATGAATTGTATTTTTATGTGTATTTAATATTTAGATATTTTTGTATGCATTGAAATTTATATGTTGTAGGTGAACGGAATCGGTGTCTACTACAACTATTATTTTATCATCTGAGTGTAGTTTGTAAATTACACTGATATACCTGATATTGTTAATATGATCACCTATATGGTCGAAAAGCTTAATTAGTCTATCGTTGATCTCTGCGAATATTTAAGTTTCTATTACTTTAAAATAAAATTCAAATATATACATTAATTAGAAGCTAAAGCATGATATAGACGATGCTACATGTATGCACACTAAGTATGCAGACCAAATATGCGCTTTGCTATAATTTTACTGCATACATGTCTGCAGATCGAAATTTGGTATGCATACTTGAATATACACAGTGCGATTTGGTAGCACGGCATATTTTGTTTGCATACATGTACCTTCATCTATATCATGCTTAAGACAAACATATAAACAAATATAGAGGGTATATAAGAAGTGTAGTCCATTTCACTACTCTGTTAAAGTTATTTTTATAGAGAAAAAATTTTTATGTAGGACCAAAAAAATTTATTCAACTTGAGCTATCTGTCAGATTACATTAAATACAATTTCACCATAACGTCTCTAGCCATCTGAATTAATTATATACAGAAATTTTATGTTACATAAACACATAGTGGTAGAAATAACTTTGTCTGGGAAACATTATAAATGTTGATCAGTTTTTTTGATATCCAATGCCATAGCATAAATTGGCAATATATTTGAGACCAAGTTTGTTTTTTTAACTTCCGCCTTTAAATCATCTGGAACAGTACGATCTGAATTCATTGTATCAGTTTGTTAAGGATAAATATCGGTTTTATTTTCATTATCATCCTCCTTAATAGTATCCATATCAACATAAATCACCATAGGGGAATTCTCATTATCAGAGCCATCAAAAAAGATGTTATCGCTATGTCTACTGTGCTTATTGTCAGTTCTGTTGTAGTTACTCGCATGAAATAAGGTTGGTATAGGATTATTGGAATTTCTTGCATGGAATTATTTGTAATTTGTCTTGCTAGATGCCTCAAGTTGAACATTTTTAAATTTAACCAAATTACTAAAAAATTTTGAACTTTATGCAAAAAAGCATTTTTAAAACACAAATTTATTAGATTTGTCTATGTATCATAATTCTAAATTTCAATGCCTGCCAAAAAAGTTTAAAACAATTTTTTTAAAGTATACTTTCTTTGTTTTTTCTAAAAATAATTGCATTTTTTCCAATGTTTAGAATCATAATAAATATTTTAATAAACATTGAAAATATTTATTTTTAGAAATGATTAAAAGTAAATGCACAATTGCCCTATCGAGTTTTAGTGGTGCGAACTAGTACTTCTGCTTGTTAGTACCTTTTGCTTATTTTTGCGTGTACTTTAAATATTTAATTTAAAAGTTTAAAAAAATTCAGAAAAATTATATTTTAGTTATTTGTAACCACAGTTTATGCAATTTCAATGTAATATAAAAGCAGCCAATTATTGTATATAAAAATCATCTCTGAAAATTAATTACTTTATACACGTATATAACATCCCTGTTTTGCATAAATTATGTCAAAATTGTTGATTCTACCGTTACATGCGACTCAATCCAATGTTTATCCAAATAGTACATATATTTTTAATATGCAATGAAAATAAATAAAATATAAAAATATATATGTAAAAATAAAAGTAATTAAATTCAAAAATAAATAACAGCTTAAGCTTGTTACTGTAGTATGTTCATAAAAAAATTTTCCTATTAGTTTGTATAGGAACTCCGTACCATATAAAAAAATTTGTTTTAAATACAACATTGCAGTTATAATTTTTGTTGATATTTTTTTTAACATTTTTAATTATATATCTATATCGACTTAAAATAATAATGTTTATTAATTTTTAAATAAAATATTTTATTGTAAAAGTAAACAGAAAAAAACATCTGTTTTACCATGCCATTATTTGATTGCCAAACGCGATTGTAAAACTTGGCAGCATTTGCACAAATGTCAGTTGCTACACAAAAGAAGTGGATATTCGTCGAAAAAAAGTCTTCGTTATTCAGCAAGCGTTTACGTATAGTAATATAGAAAGAAAATTGGCTTATTTAGGAGAAATAGATGTATAATATATTTGTTATATTTCAAAATTGAATTTCATGTGTTTATTATTTATATTTCATTAAAACTAAACTAAACAAGTAACGAGAAATATATAAAGTTTTTCTAAATATAAAATAAGTTCATAAACGCATTAGAATTAATATTTTAGTGAAGCGAAGAACTTACTTAGTATTTATTATTATTAATTCGTTTAAATAGTCGCATTTGGCGACTATGAGCGCCGCAAAGAAGTTTAAGCCGTTGGAGAAGTGTGATTTGCAAAATTCTGATTATTTTAATTGCTTGAAAAAGCCGGAGCACCTTTTTAGTCCTTCAACATCCGGACGTTCAGCTTTAAACCACAACATGAATTCGGCACGCAATGGGCCTGGTAATACAAATGGAGAACGACGTGCAAATTTTTCAATGTTGGAAACTGTACAACTAGGTGACCAAAGGTCCACAACTACCTCAACATATTTCAATAAACTTGGTTCCAATAATGCTACGAAACCAGGAGATGTCAAAAAAATAGTTATCAAAAATTTTAAGGGTAATTATTATATTTTTTTTATGCCATTAATAATATAAAATTAACTGATTTTATTGACAAATAACTACCACTTTCCTGAGTCTTTGTTGGATTAGGTTTTAGGAATTTTTTATTACCTCAGCATTTAATCTGAATTTTCAATGGAATTGCTATTGTGTAAATAATATCAAATGCTAATAAAAAATTTTATTACAGCTAAGCCAATACTGCCTGACAACTACTCAGAAAATACATGCGAAAAATTGGAAGAAGCTGTTTTAGCAATACAAGTATCAAAACCAATCAAATATTCATTAGAGGAACTTTACCAAGCAGTGGAAAACATGTGTAGTCACAAAATGTCTGCAGAATTATATGCAAAATTACATGAACTGACTGAGGCACATGTAAAACGAAACGTCAATACGTTTTCCAATGGAACTATGGATAAACTGGTAAATAACAAACATTTTACAACAACAACAAAAAAAAACACTTGCTATCTGTATTTTTATATATCAAATAACTTTGATTTTTTTCTATTTAAAGGTTTTTCTGACGAAACTGAATGAATGGTGGTTATCTTTTTGTCAACAAATGATTATGATGAGAAGTATTTTTCTATATTTAGATCGCACATATGTTTTACAAACTCCTTCTGTGCATTCAATATGGTAAATAGCCAATAGTTTGTTATTTAAATATAATATTATATATGTTGCTTAAAGACATTTTTTGTGAACTCCATAATTATCTTTTTTTGTTTTTATATATCATAAAATTCATTTTATAAAATTATTTTCTATATCCATGTGAAATTCGAGTAATTTAACAATCTTTTTAAAAACTCATTAAAAATTCCTTTAAAAATGTTACAAACAATTTGGCGTTTATTTAATTTTTCATCAAGATAGAGTAATATTATAGTTATTTTAAAAGTTCACAAAGAATCTTTAAATAACGAAGAAATTATTCATAAAAACTGAATTCAAAAGAATCAAATATTAAATATGTGTTCTTTTTTCTTTTAAGGGACATGGGGCTGGATCTTTTTCGTACACATATTGCCTTAGATACCATGGTGCAGAGGCGTACTGTAGAAGGATTATTAATGTTGATAGAAAAGGAACGTACTGGCGATGTGGTCGATCGCGCTTTAATCAAGAGTCTTGTCCGTATGTTATGTGACTTACAAATATATGTTTTGGCTTTCGAAGATAAATTTTTAATGGCAACGAAACAATTATATCAAGTGGAAGGTCAACGAAAAATGCAAGAATTAGACGTACCAGAATATTTGCAGCATGTAAATAAACGTTTAGATGAAGAAAATGAAAGGCTATTACATTATTTAGATGCCAATACAAAGTATATAATAATACAATCTAATTAATTTGATTTTTTTTAAAGTAAAATTTATTTATATATTTTAGATATCCATTAATTTATACCGTAGAGAAAGAATTGCTTGCGGAGCACTTAACACAAATCTTACAGAAAGGCTTAGATATGCTCTTGGAGGAAAATAGACTGAAAGATCTTAAATTATTGTATACATTATTACATCGTGTTAAAAATGGTACAACAGAATTGTGTGGCAATTTTAATGGCTTTATTAAGGTATAATATAATTATAATTATAATTTATATTGTTTTTTTAATTGTAATTTAACGTCATAACTGATGACGGAATTTTACTTAATAGAAACTATTGTATTTATTAGAGAGATTTCGAAAAGTAGTGAACTACAACAACAAACATTCTTTTTATTTTATTTTAATAACATGATAATACATAATTAATTCAATTATTCTACAGCTGGCTTATGATTTTGTTCTCATATAACACAGCAAGTGAAATTGTTAATGAACTTTCACAGCAAATTAACAAAAAACTCAAAGTTTGAACATACCAGTTAAGTATGGCTTTGGGTCAGTTGGCTAATGAACGTTGAGTCCGAGCTTCAAATTTGGCAGGCTATGAGTTCAACTCTTGTACTTATAGTCTCAAAAAATTATTTAGTAATAATTAAAAATAATTATAAGACCACTGATGATGAGTATTTGGGAATCCTCGATAGCTGTATGGTTAGCCAAAAATTCAATTAAAATAATTTAAAAAGAATTTTTGATGTAGTTCATTACTGTTCGAAACCTCTCTTTTTTATATTGCACATAAGTTAAAATAAAAATAATAAATTGTTGTATTATTTGTGTAGAAAAAAGGACGCACTATCGTGATTGATCCAGAAAAAGATAAGAATATGGTCCAAGACTTATTAGACTTTAAAGATAAATTGGATATAATTGTGAATAAATGTTTCGACCATAATGACAAATTTATTAATTCATTGCGTGAAGCATTTGAATTTTTCATTAATCAACGTGCGAATAAACCAGCGGAACTTATAGGTATATAAGTTCTATATAAGTATATATAATGAACAGAATGTGTTTTTGTTCATACTGATTTTTAAATTATTATTATGTTAAGAATTTGCGCTTTACTGATGATAAATTAAAAATAGAAATGAACTTTATTTTACTTTTTTCATCTGCTTCAATGGCTGAGTTTTAGCAATTTATATCAAATTATGTATTATACTACATAATTTGATTTAAATAAATAAAACAACTTCTAAACAATTTAGATAAAAACTATTGAAATGTCTGGTATCAAAGTAAAAAGATGCTTTCATTTAATTGTATTTATAATATAACTTCAGTATAATCTAAATAATAATTAAAAAATATAATTTCTAAAAATAGCAAAATATGTGGATATGAAACTAAGAGCTGGGAATAAAGAAGCTACTGAGGAGGAACTAGAACAAATACTTGATAAAATTATGGTTCTCTTTAGATTTATTAATGGAAAGGATGTTTTTGAAGCATTTTATAAAAAGGTGAAAATTATTTTTTTCTAATAAAAATTAAATTTGTTCTCAATATGAACCCCAACCCAAATTTTTCGACCTTTATCATTCACTCACGCATACGATTTTTATCCCAAGAAATCATCATTTGCATTTATGTATTTTATTTTTATTAAATATTTATTATTTTAGGATTTGGCAAAACGTTTGTTAGTGGGAAAATCTGCTTCAGTTGATGCTGAAAAAAGTATGTTATCTAAATTGAAACAAGAGTGTGGTGGTGGCTTTACTTCTAAACTCGAGGGCATGTTTAAGGATATGGAACTGAGCCGTGACATAAATCTCGCCTTCAAACAATTCGTCATGAATATGGAAAACGATGTTACCAACATCGATTTAACAGTTAATATACTCACAATGGGCTATTGGCCAACATATCCATTAACTGAAGTTACAATGCCACCCAAAATGGTTACACCACAACAAGTGTTCAACAAATTCTATTTGGCCAAACATAGTGGTAGAAAATTACAGTGGCAACCAACTTTGGGAAATTGTGTATTAAAAGCAACATTTGAAACTGTGAGTAATTTATAAAAACATTAAATTATATATTTTATATGTATTAAATTTATATTTTTTATTTTATGTATTAAATTTTTATATGTATTAAATTTATATTTTTATATTTATTTTATTTTAAAGGGTACGAAAGAACTAATGGTTTCACTGTTTCAAGCGTTAGTTCTTTTACTATTTAATGATAAAGTAACTTGGACTTTACCGGATATCGTAGCCGCAACAAATATTGAGGTTTTTATTTTAAAATTAATTTGAAAAACATATTTCATTATTATTATCTTTTCTAAATATTTTATAGGACGGTGAATTGCGTAGAACATTACAATCATTAGCTTGTGGTCGAGCGCGCGTAATTACTAAAACTCCAAAGGGACGCGAAGTTGAAGATAACGATGTTTTCCAATTCAACACCGAATTCACAAATAAACTCTTTCGTATAAAAATCAATCAAATTCAAATGAAAGAAACAGTAAGTAATTTGGAAATAAAGGAAGCTGAAGTTATTTATATTTCTAAGTAGATTGAAGTGTTAGAAATAATTTTTGACTGTAGCACAATCCGTTGATAAAATTATACCAGTGATCCTTATGGGATCCTAGGGAAAAATAACAAATATTGTAGATAATATATAACATAATAATAATATATAATATAATAATAATATGTAATATAATAATAATAATATATAATATAATAATAATATATAACATAATAATAATATATAATATAATAAAAATATATATTATAATAATATATATTTTTTATTCTATACCTTTCTAAAAGTTAATGATAATTGAATTGTTTTCTTATTTAGACGGAAGAGCAGAAGGCAACAGAAGAACGAGTTTATCAAGACAGACAGTATCAAATAGACGCAGCAGTTGTTCGAATTATGAAAATGAGAAAAACTCTTAGTCATAATCTACTTATAGGAGAACTTCTGAATCAACTTACGTTTCCGGTTAAGGTAAATATTATAATAAATGCGTTCAATCTTATTTTTATATAATGAAATTTTCTAATAGCCGGCTGATCTTAAGAAACGTATTGAATCACTTATTGATCGTGACTATATGGAACGAGATAAGGATAATCAAAACCAGTATAATTATGTTGCATAATTTAAGTTTACTTATATGGAAACATCCAACTTCAAAATAATTTAAGCTTAATTTTATATTTATTTAACGTAAAAGTGAAGTAGTTCGCTTATGTTTATAATGTTTTTATAAGAAATACTGAGTTAATTTATAGCGATTCAAAAAGTTTCTAAAAATAATTAATTATATTGTCTTTATTATTTTCAAGGTAATTAATTTTAAAGAAAGAAAAAAATAGACACAAATAAAAAAACATCATTAGTAAAGTAAATACAGTTCTTTCGATTTCGCAGATATTAAAAATAACTTTAAATAATTTTCCCATTATTATGTTTTTAATTTGTAATAAATTTTACATATTTTAAAATTGTATTATATTGTCATATGCATGCCTCATTTCTATTATATTGTACATTTGTTTTTTAGTAATAAACACATTTGCAGAATAAGCTAAAATTTACACAATTACTTAAGTTATAATATATAATGTATTAATATGTATTACCTACCGTTCATCAATAAGTTAGCTTAAGACAAGGAATATCATTATTTTTCATCATCTCTTTTTCTCCCTCTTCACTTTTTTTATCCTATCTCCTACTGTAAGTTTTGTTATCTTTACGTCTGCTTTTTTCTAGATCAATTTGGGTTACAACAACAATAATAACAATTATTGTATTCAATGCTGTAGAAGATATAGCCTATTATTGGTATAATATGATTAAAAACTTTATTACATGACAGCTAGATTCCCAAGAACAAAGTCGGCACTTTTGGAAAATTAAACTTCAATCATCAAATCGTAAGCTTGGCATCTAAAAAGAGAAAGGTCATTTCTCTGGTCTAATTGCAATTATTCTAAAGAACATGGTATGTGTTAATTTATTATATTCTTTAATATTATTTCTAAGTAACATGTGGTTGCTAAGGATCCTGAATCGTAAAAAAATTACTATTCTTTATGTAGACATTATCTTTATCCTGATAAACATGATGTGTTTATCTGAACACATGATTTTATTTATTTAATATAGTTTATTTTGAATATAGAAGAGCTTTACGCTCTTATTCTCTCTTAACTTAAAAATTTTAGTGGACATTTATTTTGTTGGGACATCTATACACAACTTGTGAGTGATGCTAATAATCCTGGATTGCAAAACAAATACTTCTCTTAAATCACATATTAGAATGTTTATAGTTTACGTTTAGGAGTTAAAGAATAGGATCATTGTCCAACTAGGTACAAATAAAATTTATTGCTGATTAATACATGTTACAGGAGTTTTAACAAGAATCAAAGAAGGAGACGTTCAGGAATCACTAATCATCGACATCCAAGAATCACTCATCATCGACGTTTAAGAATCATCCATCATCGACGTACAAGAGTTATTTCACATCGACGTCCAAGACTCAGCCATCATCGACCTTTAAGAATTACTTACCATCGATAACTAGAGTACCCTTAAAACTCTTACGAAATTCGTAACTAAGCTATTTTCTTTAAAAATTAAGAAGTACTCAAGGTTTCGAATTCCTGGAAAAGCTTGCCGATTCACTAAAACCTAGATCCAGAACCCAAATTAATACATTATGCACATAAATGCTTTTAAAATTTAGTAATATTGAGAATACTAACTTTAAAAAAATAGTACTTGTAGATTTTTCTCTGGCTATTGAATAAAAGTAATTTCAAATAAAATCGGATATCTAAATAAATAGTTGAGCTTATATATCGTAACACGTTAATAAGGTAAAGTAATGTATGTAATCACGGAGATGTTAATATTCTTTCACACTCTAGTTGTACTGCTAACAAAATTAATTATATGTTTGATGGACTTAATAGATCTAAGGATAAATAATCTATGTTAGTATATAAACGGATATAGATCACCTCTGTTGCAAAGTTAATAATATTAATTAGCATGTAATTTCAAATTGGTCCCTTAACAATCGATTTGCACCCCTATTGGGCAGTGTATCTTCCGTTGATAATCAGTGATCTAAACCCTTCAGTAGAGAGAAATAACCAAAATGTGCGAATTAAGATATTGACAGTTTAGACAAGAACGAGTCTGTACATAATCTAGATCTTGAAATGGCGTACGTAGATTGATTTTAGCTGATGATTAACAAATCGGTTTTGAACATATAAAAAAATCAAAAGAAATTCACTAGTAAAACAGAATTTGTAGGAAGTAACATATATATATATATATATATATATATATATATTATATTATATATTATTATAATATTATATATTATATTATATATTATTATAATATTATATATTATATTATATATTATTATAATATTATATATTATATTATATATTATTATAATATTATATATTATATTATATATTATTATAATATTATATATTATATTATATATTATTATAATATTATATATTATATTATATATTATTATAATATTATATATTATATTATATATTATTATAATATTATATATTATATTATATATTATTATAATATTATATATTATATTATATATTATTATATTATTATATATTATATTATATTATTATTATAATAATATTATATTATATTATATATTATTATTATATTATATATATATTACTAGGATAAACGTACTAAGTAACTAATGGACCAAAGTATTTTGGTAAAATGGTATTAACTTAATGATAAAAGATGATATACAAGTAAGGAACAAACATTTCAACGTAATTATATGTCTCGTTTGTGCCATTATCAGAAAGAAATAAAACTGAAAACTTTAAAAAACATATATAGATAAATAAGTTTCATATGAACTATGCATTTAAAATCCTACCGGCAATTGACTTTGTAGGTCAAAGGCAATACATTTGAAATTTTATTAAAAATAAGATTCAATGACATGGTTATAAATTTCTATTATTTCGCTTCAAAGAACATGGAGAGCCATGCCGAAGTCTATAATGGACTTTAAGATATTATATTTGACTAAAAGAAGAAATTTTATAGCAAATATAATTTAAGGACAAACATATACATTTCTGTTATGCCGCTTCAAAGGACCTATGCATATGCATATCGAAGTCCATAATGGACTTTAAGGTATTATATTTATCTCATAAAAAAAAAAATTTATGGCAAATAGGATTCAATGACAAACATATAAATTTCTATTATTTCTGGAAACTACACGCTTAAAAGTCGATCAGCAACTAGTAAAGCGATTAAAAGTTAAAAGCTAATACAAAGTATAATATTTATTTATATAGTATGTGTGTATATAAGTAAATAAAATATTTTAAATACATATGTATTTCACAAAACAAAAAATAAATTAAATAACAGGTTCGAACAAATGAAATAAGCTTTTATTACGTTGTAATACATATTGTTTTTGTTCTTTAGTTACAAAAATGAAGTTGTCTTTACTGTTATAAAGCTTATTTGAAAGTTTTAAGCATTGCTGGAGTGATTTCCTAATGGGGTTTATTTATGTTATTTTGACATGTTCTAAAGCATTTAACCTCACAAAATTTTGGCTCATTTTATTTGAAGTGTTAAAGTCGCCGAAACCAAATTTAAGTTTAATTAATTTTCGATATAATAATTTATATAAGTAATTAAAATGGCTGAAATGAACTCATATGAAATGTTTGTACAATTACACATGCCTCAACTAGAATCGTGTGCTATTCCTCAACACTTTTGGAAATCACTTCATGCAAAAATAATAGTTGAAACTTTCGATGCTGGAGAAGTATTTAATCTGCTGTATTTTGATTATTCAGACCACCCACCAGAGGTTAGGGATAGCGAAATGAATGAAACATGCATGCTATTAGCACAACGAGAAATTAAAGCTAACGATACAAATGCTATATATCTGATCGATCACGCATGGAGTTTTCAAATTAACGGCATGCGACAACAGTTAGAACAGTACAGAGCATTAACTGAACGTTTATGCGCAATTGCTGGCGTGAGCACGGTAGATCCGGCACGTATTAATAAATTAATGAGACGCCTTTGGAAGTACTCCAACTCATACACGATTCAAACGCAACGGACACCAAATCAAAATAACGGTTCCGTTTGGTACGTTGTAGATGAAGTAGGTTGTGCCATAAAACATTCAGATATACCCAATTTTCGTTTGGTACCATTTTTATATCAAAATACCAAAATAACATACAGTTTGTTGTTTCCCATTAGAGACTGCGAGGCGCAGCAGCAAGTTTACTGTGATTTTCTTGAACATATAAGTAAAGATGATCCACATCGAATAGCTTTATTATTGCCATGGATACCTATGGATCTAACAGAGAAAAGTTTTGTACAAACTGAGCCTGGTGCAGGTTATTTTACTTCCGGTCATGTTATAGAGACATATCCAGTAGGTTCCGATTTAAGTGATCCAATTATAAATCGAAATGAGCCATTAAAAGTTTATTCCGAGTATACAGTATTACGTGAGTTTCTTACGGATGTTAGTTTTGCTTTAGTTGATAATGAACGTGATGCCGATGTACTCTGGCTCACGTCACATTTCAAAGATTTTGCTGAACTGTCCGAGGAAACACCAAACAAATTTATAAATCAATTTCCATTCGAATATGTTATAACCATTAAGGATTTGTTAAGTATAACATGCAGGCGCGCTGCCGCAGAGCACCATAATGCCGAAACACTTGAAACATATCCCAACTGGCTACCAACTACTTACAATCTTAAAACAGAAACTTTAGAATTTGCATCTTACTACCAAAACCGAGTTGTGAAACAGTTCGATAACCATTGGATTATCAAGCCCTGGAATTTAGCTCGTGGCATGGATACCCATATTACAAATTATATTGACCAAATAATGCGAATATCTCAAACAGGTCCTAAAATTGCACAAAAATATTTGGAACGTCCTGTACTCTTTTATAGAGAAGAGCTCGATACAAAAGTGAGTATTAAATAAAAGCATTTAAATAATTAAAGTTTACATTTAAATAATAAATAATTTTTTAGGTTAAATTTGATATTAGATATGTTCTTCTGTTGAAAAGTGTCAGTCCATTGGAAGCATATGTACACAAGAAATTCTTTTTACGCTTCGCAAACAAACCGTTTTCATTGGACTCATTCGAAGATTATGAAAAACACTTTACTGTTATGAACTACCAAGAGGAAGTCGAATTGCGCCATATTAAATGCGAAGATTTTGTTAATATCTGGAAAGATCAATATCCCAATAGTGATTGGGCTGGTATTGAAGATGAAATATGTGCAATGCTGCATGAAATGCTTACTTGTGCAACCAAAATGCCACCGCCATGTGGCATTGCGCATTCCCCACAATCGCGTGCTTTATATGCGGCAGATATTATGCTAGAATGGAAATTAGATGGAAAGACAATGCAACCGAAATTATTGGAAATAAATTGGACACCAGATTGCAAGCGGGCCTGCGATTATTATCCTGATTTTTATAATAATATATTCAAGCTTTTATTTTTGAATGAAAGTAATGAGGAATGTTTCAGACTACTAACTCCAAGTTAAATGTAATGGAAAATTTAAAAAATGTTATATTTTGTATTGAATAATTGAATTATGTATCCTGTAATATTTCTGAACAGATATGATTTTGTAATTTTTAGAATTTAATATTATGCATGAAAAAATAATAATCGAAACTTTAACTAATTAGTTTAATATTTGGGAATCACAATTGACAAGCTTTTATAAAAAGCTAATCTATACATTCTTAAGCGCTGTCAATTATATGATATGCAAGGAAATCTACTTTTAGGCTATAACGAATAATATTATTAAACTTCTTAGTCACACTAAGTAACATTGATATCTCTAAAATTCAAATGCTTGGGGTTGTTTTAAAGTTATTTGAAAAAAAAGATTCCATCTCTTCCAACTGCTTCTTCCTTAATTTATTACAACGGGCCTTTAGTTGTGCTTAAGTAGGCTTTGCTGTACAAGTCTGTTATTTCAACTTCAAAATATGGTTGCCAATGACGAATCAGTAACAATTTTAGAGTTTATACTCTGCTTATACCGTTTGGAGTTAAAAGTCTCTCTTAAGAATTCACAAATTAATATGAAAATATTTTTTTATCGTGTCTGATAGTGTTTAGTGCTATATCTATGACTAATTAGCAGATGATAATGGTAACGCATTCACTTATTTAATATCAATTGCAGGTCGAAATATGGGCTTTAAAATTTTGTAATGTCTAAAGATAAGAGATGTTTGGTCTATTTACTTCGAAGCCTTCTTGTGATGATCTGTCAGAGAGGTTGGTATTCTAGCATATATTTTTTTCCCGTTACTGTGTATTATTTAGTTTGAAGTTATTTCAAAAACTAAGAGAATATTTAAAATACTTCTCGAAATATTATCCATCTAGGGATAAGACACCGCGAATTATTTCTTGCTTAATACAGAAATAAAGTAGAGTCGCTGGCGGCAGTAGCTAGAAATATCAAAAATGTGGTTCACTCATTACCACAGCTTTTTATACGTATTGAGTAACAGTCACCGGCTAATGTAATCAATATTTTTGGAGTACAGTGTAAGTCCCCTGTTATTGCAGTCAACAAATATTGTTCGGTATTGTTTAAAACTTTTGCGAGAATGTTTATAAAAATGCATGTGAACTCTGTTTCCGAAAGAAGCCCGGTCTATACTCAAGCCGCTCCTTTACATAGATGCCCGCTTCAACACATCTGATTTTATCTACACAGATCACCGCGTCTACAAATATTATCTCGTCTACATAGATGACGGCGTCTACAAATATTATCTCGTCTACATAGATGACCGCGTCTACATACATAACCGCATCCACACATATGATCTCGTCTATATTGATGACCTTGTCTATATTGATGATCTCGTTTATATTAATGAACTCGTTTATATTGATGACCTTGTCTACATTCATCACCTCTTCTATATTGATGACCTCGTCTACGAAGATTACCTCGACATAGATGACCTCGTCTATATTGATGACCTCGTCTACAAAGATAACCTCGTCTTCAAAGATAACCTCGTCTACATAGATGACCTCGTGTACATAGATTACCTCGTCTACATAGATGGCTAAGTGCTGCTGACTATTCCAAACAAAACGGTTCCCTTGGATTACAAAAGCAACAACTTGTAATCTCCTTGCAAAGTAACACTAACATATTATTTTTAAATTTTTTTACTAACTGTTTAATCCACAAATAAAGTTTTTTTTCCCAAGATCCATCTACATTTATAGTATAACTATTAGGAAATTGGTATATGTACTTAGTTATTGATGCTCGGTCTTAGTTACATATGCTAAATTATTGGATAGCTTCAAGAAATTTCGAGTTTTTGTTAAAATATGGCATTTATTTTCTTGTTTAATTGATTACTTTCGTATTCCGGTTCTACAAAATATATGGACAATTATTTAATTATTTATATTTAAGGAAAAAAAAACTATTAATAGTTGAACTACTATTAAAAAGGAATACATATTTGTCGGAGAATACATAATTGTATTGGCTCATAATGGCAGCTTTCTAAAAATATTTACAAGGTTTCTTTTTTTACTATAAAAACCCATGTTACTTATATACTCATACGTACTTACGTTTAGATTAGGCGTATATATAAAGACTCATTTAAGAGAGGATTTTAAAAACTATAATAATTCTTAGTTCATATGAAAAGATGTAATTGAAAAAAAAAAAAGGCAATTATAACTAATGTTATATATTCTGAAACATTTTAGGCGACTTTAATTCGCAGAACGGGTTTAGTAATATGTATATATACAATATTATTCAAGCATTATATATATATGCTAGCATCGAAGTACAAAAAATTATCAGCGTATAATACTTAAAAGCTCAAATAGCTTTTAACTTTTTTTAAATTATTTATAAAATATTTAAAATTATATTACAAAAAAAAAAACGTATATAATTTATTTGAACTTTATTTTTTTTAACCCTTATAACGAACGCATAAACTATTTGTACAAACTTGAAACTAAAAGTACAATGAACTTATACATTACATAGATAAAGTCAATTTTTTAGCAAATGATAGCTTACAGTAAACATTTCTTTTTAAATTGTTGTATTGTTTTCTTACCAGTAAGAGAACATCTACAAATTAAAAAAATTATAATAATTATTATTTTTAGTTGCTAAATATAAGTAGAGTGTATAAGAAGTTGATGAAAATTTCTTTCAAAATTATTTGATTTATAATTCGAAATGGCACTTAATGAAAAATGTTTCAATAAATATTTTATATGACGTAAATATAATTTTTTTTTTTAAATGGAAGCTTAGATAATATTATTTAAATATATATATAAAGAAAAAACGAAAATATATATATGTTTGTATTTAAATACGTAAGGCAATATACGTACAAGGCACAAAACAGGAAATATAAGAATAAAGATATATAAAATTAAAGATAAATTAAAAAAAAGAAAAATTAAAATTAAGTTATATTAAAAAAAAAGATATATATATAAAAAAAATATATATATATTAAAAAAAATATATATATATATTAAAAAAAAAAGACATATTAAAATAAAGACATATTAAAGAAAAGATATATTAAAAATAAAAGATATATTTAAAATAAAGATATATTAAAATAAATATATATTAAAATAAATATATATTAAAGTAAAGATATATTAAAAAAAAAGATATATTATAATAAATATATATTATAATAAATATATATTAAAATAATGTTATATTAAAATGAAGATATATTTTTAAAAAAATATATTCAAATAAAGATATAATAAATGAGAAAAGAAAATACATTTTTTCTTAAACTATTTTGAATAAACTAATACTAAATGCATAATTTTATCAGAAAATTATACATATTAATGTACACACTATTATTTACTTAATTATACATACCTTAGAAAATAAGCTTATAATAAAATATTACACTATGTTTTTTTTAAATTACAAATGAAAAATTAATTTAAAAACTTAAACGCAAACTTCATCATAATTAAAACGAATATTTTTGTCTGCGGAAGATAATTTGTTTATAGTCTTTTTAACGCGTAGCACAGGCAAACGAACACTAGGATTCTGATGCCAGCATTCCTTCATCAATTTGGACATGCCAGCAAGAAGCTTAAATGTTAAAAAAAAATAAATTGATTAATTATATATTGTTTATGATTACAGATTAAATAATAATATTTTATATAATATAAAAGCGTATAAGATTTGGAAGCTTATAAGCATTTGTAATTTAAACTCAATTTTATTGAAACTTGATTTTACGGGTTGAAAAAAAGTAAATACCAAAAAATCAGTGTCAAAAGTGACTAGGACATTTGAAATTAACACATCACTACTTACTTAACAATAGTATTTCTAATATCTAGCAAATTCGTAATAAATATCGCGCTGACTATAACATATTATTTCATAGTTACTAGTATAATGTATTATCCAGTAAGGTGAACTGATGTCCGGCTTTGTAGAAAATATCGGCCTAATTAGTCCGGAAAATTTTGCTCATTGTGATACCACAATTCAGACCCTAACTATAAAAGCATAAATACAAAGTATCTTTTCTGTTCAACAAAAAATGGCACAACAACAACACGTTTGGTTAAACGTTTAAGGTCTTAAATATTAGAGTTAGGTTAGGAGTGTGAGTGGAGGTCTTGTGCCCAAGGCTTACCTGAGGTTAAATAATAGCATGATATGATATTACGGAAAGACAGTGTACGAACAACTCTGAAGTTTAAAGTTTTAGTAGCTACAACTTTTATATAATCCATAATACGTAGTCTACAATTTTATTTAATTTATATATTATGTCGAAGCTATTTGAGCCAGTGCACTTGAGCACTTTTACTCTTTCTTAACTCGAGGTATTTGTAAAACCTCTCTTTATATATATTTAATATATTTATTTAATTTACTAAATAAATAAATAAATAAATGAACATTCAGCAGGGGAGACTGTCCTAAAATTTTAGTCGACGGCTGAACAATTCTTTAAAAGAACTCTGTTTTTGCCACCGATATATAAAGTAAGCACAAAAGCACTGCACAAAGATGTGGACTTGACAAAATGATAAGGTGTAAGTTAAAAGTATTAAGGCGAATAGGTGAGAATATTGAATTTAACCTTGACCCAGATGAAAGAGTCATTAAACTTCAGCGAGACACAGCTAGATCAATAGGATACAACTTTGTGTTTGAATTTTGGCATGAAAATAGGTGGGTGATGTCATAAATAGTAGAAGTGTACATCGAGAGTATATGTATTTATACGGGACACGTAACTGCACATAGCGATGCAATGAGCATAGTGATAAGCTGTAAGCTTGGACGATGTGAAAAGATGGTAATGTTAATGGTTACTTTAATGGTAAACGTACATTAATGGAGGTAAACGTATTTATGTGTTACAAGTAACTGTTCAGCATGTTTCTATATTCTGACTCAGAATTAGACAACAACAGAGGGAAACCTCTTTCATCTCCAAAAATTACAAGTATCTCGGGAAAGTATCGTCTACGATATATGGGACATTGATTTGTTTTAATTCATTTTTTAACTCAAATCGATACATTCTTTAACTCAAGTATTATATTTGTTTTTAAATGGTTCTAGATTGAAAATAGCTAAAGGTGATCGAAAAAGGCAATATTCGGTTATAGAAAGGGCCGAGCCTACGTCCCGGAGTCACTGTTCTGCACAGATGATCAAGTGCCGCTCACTTCTCTTAAACAGTTTTTATTGTTGTAATAATCGACAGAAATCTGACGAATTGATGTGTGTAGTTAATGGTGAGAGAGAAAGAGATTGTTTAGGAGCAAGAATAGAAATTAGGGGATGGAATTATAATTGAAATCAACCTAAATCAAGGCGGAGAAAATTAACCAGTTCAATGGCATGGAGACAAAGGAAAAAAGCAATAGGTCTATTCCGGTTCATACAATAATCATTTGTTTTATCATTAGTTTTATTATAATTTTTTTTTAATTGATGTTGCAAGTTTAATACTAATATGCCTACGTTACGTTTTATCCTACTAAATTTCCAATAATCAATTGTTTTTGATACATATGATAAGATATATCAACAACAATACAAGCTCTTTTGAAATTTTAAATGAAAAGTTTGCAGCGTTTAATATTACGTATTCCATCATAGTAGTTCCATCATAAATCTTTATTATTGCAAGTGATCTTTATTATATATAAATGTAAATGATTATTATTATATAAATATAGTCATTACTGTGAGCGATATGTGCCTTAATACTCATCACAATTTCATTTCATTTAAAATTAGACAGTAATATGTCAACTTATAATTATATATATTAAAACAAATATATAAATATGTTACTTACCGGATCAGAACTCCATCGATTTGGTATGCATGGCCTGTAATTATCTATGCATACTACTTTCCGCATATCTTCAAAACTTGGATCAGATGGTACAACATCATAAAACGGCACTTTATATTCCTCTGCAAAGCCGCACGAGATTGTGCGTCGACAAACCTCCCAAATAACTAAACCCAAAGCATATATATCCGTACGTCTGAGCGATTCAAAACACTGCAAATTTATACTGCAAAAAAAAAAGAGGTGGAAAATTAATATTATAATCCTTTTCTAATTACTTTAAAATTTCCTTACCTTTCATCTAAAACTTCAGGAGCCATATAACGTTTCGTGCCTACTTTTGGGTTGTCTCCAAAATCTAATTTACCAGTCGTATGGGAGAGTGTAACTGCCAAACCAAAGTCTGCTATAACACAAGTACCATTTTGCTTCACAAGTATATTTTTCGACTTTAAATCGCGATGTGCCATTGCTGGTTTACCCTGTTAAATAATATATTGTTTATGAAAAAAAAAAAAAAAATTACAAAATTTGGGATCTATTAATACTTACCTCAGTGCCAAAGATTTCAGTATGTAAATGTGTTAGCCCATTTGCAATTGAATGACATATTCTTATCATATCATTATGACTGAGTGCATTTCTATTCAAGTGATCAAAGAGTGAGCCATCACGATAGTAGTGCGTCAACAACCATAACTGTGTACATGAATTGCGTGATATCATATCTGAACCAATATAACCAAGTATATTCTCATGGCGCAGTAATATTGTACTAAAAAATAAATAAAAAAGCATATATATAAGGAATTAATATTAAGGCATCTTTCTTTTTTTGTGTACCTATAAATTTCCGTTTCTCTTTTCCAAGATTCTTCTACACGACTGAAAAATATTTTGACTGCAATATTTTCGCCTTGCAATGTGCCACGCCA